AGAGTTGATGTTCCTTATAGAACTATATGGGGTCAAGATACACTTCCTCTTTAGTCTTTGGATAGAGTGAGTGCCTGTGTGAAAGTATACCCTGAATCACGAGGTGAGTTACGGTGGAAGAGTCAGAACCACTCTAGGTTGAGAGCAGAACTTGTGTTCTTAGGAATTATACTTCCTTTCTTAAGGTCTGAAAAAGGCAGTTCATGTGATAGGTATTAAACCAAGCTACCATTCAACTGATTAGAACTGCTACTTTGATCTCAATTCCCTTAAAAATAAACAAATTACATGTTTTGAAAGGGAAATGCATTGTTGAAGATCTTCCTATATTTGTGGAAGATTATTTTCTTTAGTAACTTTTTTTTTGTTTTTTGAAAATACAAAATACTTAAGGCTGAAGCCATGTATTGCATTTACTGTGATTTAAGATAAGTACTATCAAATTGTAGTAATTTGGAATTACTTCAGTGCTTTTTCCTCCCAGGCAGATGGAGCCATTTGAAATTAGCATGTGTGAGATGGCTTAACCTGGCACGTACGTGACTGCAAAACTGCTCATCATTACTACCTTTCTTGGAACCTTTTCCAAACATATGGAATGGTTTCTCTGAGGAACAACTAAGTTAGGACCTGTCAATCTGTAAAAAAGATGACATGGCAGGGAGGCATGTGATGGAGGCTCACAAAATCATAACAGATGTGGAGAGAGTGGAATATCATAACAGAAATTGATAACTCATCTCTTCAAATACATGAAATATGGGATCTCAAAGCTAATGTGAAACGGATGTAAGCAAAATAAAGTCCAGTCCATGAGCCTGGTACAGTGGATAGTAGACCTGTGGAATTAATTGCTAAAGGGTGTTGTGGATGCTGAAAGCTTATGTGGATTTTAAGGAGTCTGAGTAAGTTCATGAAAGATAAATGGTTTGAGATTTACTAAATACAGAAAATCACATCTGGCTTAGCAAGTTCATCTAAAGGAAAATGAGAGCACATTTGGGGTATATATTATATGTTCTCATTCTTCAGTGGTGTCTATTTTTAGCTATTGCTGAAGATTAGGATACTAGTAGAAATGGATCTCATACTGACCCAATACAGCTGCTCTCACCACTGAAGGTGGGGCTATCATGGAACCTGTCCCTGATACCCACCCTGCTTATATCTATCTTGTATATGTATACATTAACGCAGGTTATTTTTTGACCAGATTCCTGGTCTGTTGGATTTGGTTTACCAGGAGGGGAACATAGGTAACTGGACTTAGAGAAAAACGCAAATAGTTGAGCTTTGACAGTTTATGATTTTGATCAAGTTGGTTCTTGCAGCCTGGTTTGCCGTATGAGGGTCTGTTGTGTTTTATTTTATTTATATCTTAATTTTCATTCTACCTACATAAGTCAAACTGACCTCCCCTGTCAGTTTTTCCCACTGAAGGAAGCAAATGTTCCATATAATGCAGTCTGTTTATTCTATCACTGTGGAAGTAAAATTCTAAAAGGTGAAATAAGTATATCATGTTTGTTTCTATCATTCTGACTACTGCTGAATGAATTAAAATATTTTCTCTTTGTGTCCTCTAGGTACGTTTCTCATATATGCGGATGAAGTATCTCTTCATCTCTTGGTTAGTAGTATTTATTGGCAGCTGGGTTATGTATGTTCAGTACTCCACCTACACAGAATTATGCAGAGGACATGACTGTAGGAAAATAATAGTAAGTATATTTAGCATAGCTTTCTCAAGTGTTTGTCCTGACTAATTCCACAGCTAATTCAGTCAGTGCCTCATGTAAATTAATCAAATTCTGATATTCCATCATGTTGATGTAAGGTTACATCTTCAATTACAGATAAAAACAGTTACATTTCTTAACATTGTTTTGGTATAGGGCTATTAAAATTGTTTTCTTAGATTTTTCTTTCAAGAGTCAGGTGTTGGGAGAGATACAGTTGTTGACTCCTTTCTTGGGCAATTTGTTAAATATTTTTCTCCCTGTTTGTTTCAGTGTGATAAATACAAGACTGGAGTTATTGATGGGTCAGCATGTAGCAGTCTTTGTGCTAAAGAAACATTGTATTTTGGAAAATGCTTGTCAACAAAGCCCAATAACCAGGTGAGGCTTTACTCATCCAACCCAGTTTTATTATTTCCCACTGAAAAGTCATTCTCTTAGAACATCAAGTAGATGTTATTTTCAGCAAGCTGTATCTGTTTGATACAGATTATTTCAAACTGTGTGCTGTGATATGCAGAGCATGTTTGTATTTATGTATATAGCATACCTGTATAGAGAGAATATATGGGTATAATACACATTATTAATTCTATATTATATACAACATGCACCTATATGTAATACACCTGTATATAGTATTATGTTATTTGTATTTGTTGATAAAATATAATAAAATATATTTTATTATATATGTTTTATAAACATATATATAATATACTGGATCCTCCTATGTTTTGACAGAGTAATACCCTTTTGTACAGCATACTACTACTCTGCTATCTTGCTTCCCAAATAGAAGCAGCAGCCTCTTAACAACCTACGCAAAGATGTCAGTAATGCCAATGTATTGTTTATCAAGCTGTCTTTGTATTTTGACAGTCTATTGTCTCCAGAGTACCTGCAATAGTGTATTGTATTTGTCTGTATGCAGGACTCGGTTTTCTAATCTGTGTTGTTACTTGACTCTTGAAGCAGTGGTTGGAGTACAGGTGGTCTTTAGATGATGGACTTCTACACTGCTTTTTACTTTTTTTCCCTGCTTTTCCTGCATAGATGTATTTAGGAATCTGGGGAAATCTGCAAGGTGTTATAAAATGCCAGATGGAAGAAGCTGCTCAACTTGATTTTGGTACTGACCCAGAACCAAGGAAGGAAATAGTCCTATTTGATAAACCCACAAGAGGAACCACTGTTGAGAAATTCAAAGAAATGGTATATGGTCTTTTTAAAGTAAGTATATGCTTATTTATTCTGTTTTGACAGAAAGGTTTATTTTCCTGCAGCTGGAGAGAATGCCCTATTGTATGAGCCATGTTCAAGTGCCTGTTAGAAACATAATCGGCACAAAAATATTTTTTCCCAGAGGTGCTTATCTCGAAGTTTGAAGCAACTAATTATCATTTTTTTAATTACTTTTTAACAGATGGAAGTTGGTATGCATCTTGCATGTCTCCAGTTTCACCTGTATTTGTATAGAATGATATATGGTAAAAATATTTTCTGCTGCTTTTGGGGTGGTTGTAACCAGGTACAAAGACTGAAGCACAATTTGAAAACTATTCATGCTTGGGAAGAGTTACTGTGTTAACTGAGTAGCAGGAATCTCTCTAAGCAGAATGACCAGCCATACTTTTCCCAGTTCTTTCTGTGTTATATTAATGTGATACTTATTTATATTGCCTTAATGTTACCCCAGAATTTTCTAATATTGAGTCATCATTTTGATGCTGTGTCAATATGAATTTTGGGTTTTCTTTCTGAAAATTCTCTTGCTGTTGTCATAGCTCCTATGTCTCCAGTGATGGAAATAATGCTGTTCTAGCTGAGTGAGCCTATGTGTACACATGCACTCACATGCAACATAAAGCTGATGGCAGTTGTCATGCATTTACAGTAGCTTTGTCTCCCAGAATGGGTGAGCAGCAGGTGTTTTAGAGTAGTCTTTAGGAGAATTTGGGAAAAGTTTATCGGACTTTGTGTGCATTGGTGGCAGTTGAAAATGCAACAGTTCTGATTGCAGGAATGGCTTCTTTCTCTATATTGATGCCATGGAGGTGGTTATATCAAATAACAAAATTAAATATTTCATTGCGCTTATCGTATGGGGATTTGTACCCAGTGTGTCTTGGTACTTTTTAGTAGTTTCTCTACACCTGTAAGGTTTAATCATCTGAAAACTAAACCTGATCTAAACATTTGAATTCTACATACTTTTTCTAAGACGATATTTAACATGCTACTTGATATGATTTTTCTAAAGACTGACCTGACCAAAACCAATGTTTCAATTTTAATGTTTGCATTTTGAAATGCAAAGAATGCTAGCACTTTCAGAAGATCATATACTTGTTGCCTTTGAAAACAGAACAAAAAGGAAGCTCTTCAGGCATCTGGTAGCAAGTCCTGTAACATCTATAACCAATGAAAATTAGAACAAAACATACCCTACCACACTATCCATAGAAGGAGAATAACTGGAGGTAAAATGACAGGTGGATTGGTGGTAGTTAATGAAATCATACTTAATCTTTTTCATTTGTTGCTTTTAGGCAAAATTGGGTGAACAAGGAAATCTTTCAGAACTGGTTAATCTCATCCTATCTTTTGCTGATGGAAACAAAGATGGTAGAGTTTCTTTGCCAGAAGCGAAATCCACATGGGCACTTCTGCAGCTAGATGAGTTTCTGTTAATGGTTATCTTGCAGGATAAAGAACATACTCCCAAGTTGATGGGTTTTTGTGGGGATCTCTATGTGACTGAAAGAGTTGAATATACCTCTCTCTATGGAATCAGCCTTCCATGGATCATAGAACTTTTCATTCCCTCTGGCTTCAGAAGAAGCATGGACCAATGGTTTACTCCATCGTGGCCAAGAAAGGCAAAAATAGCTATAGGACTTCTAGAGTTTGTGGAAGATATTTTCCATGGACCTTATGGAAACTTTCTTATGTGTGATACAAGTGCCAAAAACCTGGGATATAATGATAAATATGATTTGAAAATGATGGACATGAGGAAAATTGTGCCAGAAATTAATTTGAAGGAAATAATTAAAGATCGTCAGTGTCAATCAGACTTGGACTGTATTTACGGTACAGACTGTAGAACTCTATGCGACCAAAGCAAAATGAGATGTACCACAGAAGTAATTCAGCCAAACTTGGCAAAAGCCTGTCAGCTACTTAAAGACTATCTGCTTCGTGGTGCTCCTTCTGATATCCATGAAGAATTAGAAAAACAACTGTACTTGTGTATTGCCCTTAAAGTCACAGCAAATCAGATGGAAATGGAACATTCTTTAATACTCAATAACTTAAAAACTTTACTGTGGAAGAAAATTTCCCATACAAACGATTCCTAGCTTCTCCACCAGCAGAATATTGATGCCTGCCACAAGAGGTGGCCTACCACATTTGATAAAAATGATCTGCAGCATTTTTTAAAGACATTTCTTTACTCAAATGAATGGCTCTAACTCTTGCCCTTCAGTCGGTACCTTATGACAGTGCTTCTCAAAGAATGAACATGCCACTGAATGATCGGGCAGAGGCAGAAGCGCTTCTGGTGTTCCAGTGCTGTGTTATGGAAACAAAAATCCTGCATGCTTGACTGTTCTGTGCACTTTGTCAGATCTTGAAGAGGATGAAAGTATTCACTGTGCCACCACATCAACCTATGGAACATCTTACAATTCTGTGAAATTCATTGCTGTCTTGTGAATACCTGCAAAAGATTTTTATCCCAAGTAGTTCTATGAAGAACCACCACTACTGCAAATAATGTGTTGGAGTCCAAGCTGCTGTTGTGAATAAACTGAACTGAGATTGACGTTTACTAATACTTTGGCATGGCAGAGTTTGCACATTAATAATTATTAAACTGTGGAAAATTAGAATTCTATTCTAGAACTGACAGGTTGTAATATGAGACTTACATTCTTTTTTACACCTTGTTACCTCATGCTTACATCTTGAATGTTTTAAGTATTTGAACACTTCTGAAGTTCTTATACAGTGAACCATGTTGGGAGCTAAGAATTTTAGAACATTTTACTTCTTAAAATCATGTATATAGTCTAGCAGCAATATCAACATCTGTTTCAAAAACTGTGGATTATTGTACTTCAGTTGAAACCTTTAACCCAAATTAAGCTGTAGCCAATACTGAAAACTGAAAAGTTCGGACTAAGCTGTTTTGTGAGAACTGAAGTTAGTTAATTTTTAAAAATACTGGTGGCAGAAGCATCCTAACAGTTAAAGGAAGCTTTTACAGTGTAGGAATCTGCTGTATGACATGTGAAACAAATAATAGCTGTGGATAAAGTCTTGACTCTTTACTGTCCCTCCGAATTTAGCTACAGCCTTGGATTTAAATCCTCTTGAACTATTGCAGGAAGTATGTAAGCCAGAGCTAGATGTGAACTGTAGGACAAGCTAGGTTTGTTCAGGATCATGGGATATTGCTTAAATGGGAGCCTATGAGATAGTAACAGCTAGGAAAGAGGTGGAACGTGAGTGAGCGAGCGAGCTGTGGTGTGTTACTATTCTTTTTTTCTAATAGCAGCTGTAAGTCATTGTTCAGTCTCAAGTTGTGAGTAAATAAACACCATCTGATCCTGGCATTCCACATGGCATGACCACTGTACCACCTTCAATCTGCATCTGTTGTTTCTCAGATTTACATCTACATTCACAGTTATGCAGAATTGGATGTCCATAAAACACCTTAATACTATGCTCAATACTTAATGTTTAATTTATAAATGCTTTAGGTATGAAATAATTCAATCTTTAATGATTTTAAAGGCAGTCATCCATATACTTGTAAATCTACCACTTAATTCATTTTCAGTATAGGGAAAGAAGTACAAGCTTTATTTAAATATTGACAGGTTGCTAATTGCTTTAGGTATCCTATATTAAATGCATTCCTTGAATGATGATACTGAAGTACAGGACCAACATAAAACCATTTCTCCATACTCTATGTGATAGTATGCAGCTTGGGTTAAGGGTATACTGTTTTGTAAACATCAGCTTTTTAGTAATTCTTTAACTATGCTAATGCTAATTACTGTCTCTAAATTGATAATGCCCTCCAACCACAAGCTAGTAAGTATTTGTAGACAGCAATGCACTCAAATGTAAAGTGGTCATATTCTTGGTGGAAAAATCTGACTGTAATTGCTACTAGGTTTTGGGCAGAGAACATTATTGAATCCAAAAGGATGGTGGGTATTTTAAACACCTGGAAAACATGTTTAATAGTGCAGTTTGTACAGAACTGTCATTTTTATTGCTGTTGGAGCTTTCTTTGGAAAAAAACCCCCACACTTTATTTACAATAAATCACAAGCCTCCTTTTCTCTTTCAAACTGTATCAGTATCTCACAGTAAAACATTCTTCCACAGAGCCTACTTCATGTATCTAACTGTGCAAACAACTTCAGTAAGTCTAATGGGAAACAAATAAGAAACGCCTATGAAACTGAGGTGTAGCGGCAAGTCAAGGCCTCTGTAACTAAGCATGTATATGCAACTTAGAAGTAAGGTATTCAGCTTAAGGCAGTACCTGTTCTAGTACCTGAGTACATGGAATACTTCAGTTATTGGACAAAGCTTAAATACTTCAATTAGACATGTATTCCTCTATCAGTTACAGTTAAGTCGTAGTAGGGAACGTTGCCCCTTGTGTTCCTGAAAGCCTAAGGCTGCCTTTGGGCAGGGGCTTTGGAACCTACTGTAACTACTTTTTTTTTCTTAAGTTACATACATATTTCCCCACCCCGTAACATTAAGAATGCTGAAAGAAAAATTGTGAAGGACATGTAAAGCCCTTTTTAAAAATTTAAAATCGCAAATAGAAGCAGCACGTTCTTGTGTCTAGTCTTTGATACTAGTCACACACAAAAAAATATCCCTTTGATTTCCTCCTCTTAGGGGAATAATCCTAAAACAGCAGCCTTGGTTTTGAAGTCTGTCACCTTTCTTCTCCTCTGTGAAGGAGTTAAAATTCATATAGTACTTTGAAATGGAAAAAAGTGTAAGGCTACAGACCAGCTGGATCATAAAAATGTTCTACATCTTTAGAAGATATATTAATAAGCCATTCTTACACAGTTGCTTACTCAATAAATTTATTGCCACTTTTTCCAAAGCTTCATAGAAAATTGTGGAAGTTGTCTTAACTATCAGCTGCACGCTCCTGGGCCCTGAGAAAGCTAGCCTTCTTCTGAGCAACACGATCTTTCTTCTGGGCGAGGGACATCTTGGGACAGTTCCATCTGCAATGTAAGCACAGTATGAGGTATCGAAGGCAAAATAAGCAAAAAAGGTGGTCAGGAAAGCTGCAGTGCACTAGAACTGTGATTAAGAATGCTTATGCTTAAACATATTCTTACTTCTGTAACATGCTTTATTTCCTTGTAATGATTTAAGGCTGTAGTTAGGGCACCACAAAAAGATATGGTTAGACTGCAGCAGTTTAATTCCTGAAGAGGTAAACTCTGTATGCTTTTGTGACTAGAGTACAGACAGTATCAACCTGTGCTTTGATTTCTTTTCTCTCAGACCCCTGAAAAATCAAAGTAGTTTAGTACTGCCCTCTCCTAAAGAGAAGCAGCTTTCCCACTGAAAAAAAAGACCTGAAGATACACACTTAAAGAGTTCCAGCTATTCAGGCCACAAGCATGCTCCACTTTAAACCTTTTTTTTTCTTTTTAAATATAGTTGAGGGCTCTTAAATTTTAAATTCCTACACTGAAGTTAACACCTGACAAAGTTGTACAGAAATGGTTGTATCTTATCTGATGTAAAACATATGTTTTGACACAACTGCAATGTGAGTCACATTACTTGTTTTAACATAACTAAAACATCCTGAACAGAGAAGTCATGTTCGTGTTAAAATGAATGAAAGTTTTACCTCTTTTTCTTAACTTCTCTCTTGGGTTTCTTTTCATGGACTGGATTATCCCGTATAGCTGCATGGGCTTTTTTATACATTTCTTCCATCTTTAAAAAAAAAAAAATCGTTAAATTCTCTCTAGTGGTCCAGTTATAGGATCATATAAAAAAACAGCCCCAAGATACCCTTACCAGAGCATGAATTAGAAACAGGTTTCATCACAATACAGCTTGTCATTTTGTGCGGTTGCTTTTAAAACACGTCATACAGAAGATCACTGCCCCAACATACTGAAATTCCTATCATTACTATAACACAATCAAAATATCCAAACCCACAAGTTAAGACACAAAACTGAAAAAGTAATTTTATCCTTATTTTACAGTTAGGGAACCAAGGCCACAGAGTAACTACAGACTACTTACAAATCTCATAAACACAGGCTGCCATCTTGCAGTTGAAATACTATTTCCTCAGCGGCCTACCTTCAGTGCCATAGCTTCCCTACATTTAAATTAAAATGCAGTCTAAAAAGTTACTCTACTTCTACCTAAAATAAAATACTTCATGTTTACTTATTAAACCAAAATTATTCCACACAAACTCTGTCATCAGATGTGTAATCTTAGAGCTTGTAGACCCTACCCTAGGACACACTACAAAGCTGCTTAGTAAGAGGGAAAAAGTAGAAGTTATGAAAACAGCTACAGATAGTAAGTCTTAAAAGAACAACAACAGTCCCTACATCATCCCCAGGGATGCAGTAACAAACACATTAGCAGAGGCTACACCCAAACAGTTATTGTACTTGAGTGACTGTTCTTCTACCATGTGCGACAAGGAACATAGAAGTGATCTGTCCAGTTACATAGATCAATAGCACAAGGTACCAGAGGACCCACGTCTGTCTGCTGGTCTGTCCCTAAGACAACTACAACTCCATTATGACACCAATTTTAAGAATACCTTTGCTGGTGGTTAACTAAGACTACTAGACCCCAGCTGTGAAAAATTTTCTAGATGGACAAAGACAACTGTCTAATTATTGACATAAGTCCTGGACCCACTTCATTGCAATACAAGGTATAAGCGTTGTTTGTTTAGTAAAAACAGATGAAGTTGGCATTTACATAAACATTGCTATTTTTTAGTAAAGTTAAAAAAAAAAAAAGCAATTAGTTAAGTTTACAAAAAACCTTAAACCCCATAGCAATAAAGGGATAAAGAATGAAGTTAAGTTCCCCATAGCCTAAAAAGGGGACATAAGAAAGTTTGTTTCAACCTTCAGGACCACTAATAGGGGAAACCAAGCACGAACATGTAACAGGCAGCAAGACAAGCCATCTGAAAGGAGTTTAACACTTGAAAGAAGTGAAAGAAGCACCTTGGTAATATCACATATCTTCTAGTGTTTTGTACAAGATACTCTAAAATTTAACATAGTGCTAAAATAACATGTATTACACTCTCTGGAGTTTCATGAGATGCTAGCTTGGGCTATTCCATATTCACCTGGGACCTAGGACTACCTATGGAGTTCACACAAATCCTCAGATTTGACATAGGGCACATCCTCAC